TCTGTTAGTTGTCATGATGATAAAATACATAAAGCACATACATACAGAATTCTATATTGTACTGAAAATCCTGTGTTTTTAAATCTGGGTTAAACTACCAAAACTGTTCTGTGGTTTTTTGTTTATTAAAATGAACTAATGAAAACAGATTATCTGTACTTCACAGGTTGTAGTCTTCAGGTCATGTAAAAATTTTATTTCAGGAAAAAGAAACACCCATCTTTCTAGATTCATACCAAATATTTTAATGTTTGCTTTGGGACAAGATCAGTTGATCTGTATAATAATTTTGATGTACATGCCTCTGGCTGAAATGTGTTTTTCCATACACCTTCAGGTTATTGCTCATTTTTTATCTATGGCAGATGTATAGGTAAAGATCCTACATTTCCTGTTTGTGGTTCTTGGGAAAGGCAGCCCTGGCTATCAATGAAGAACAGGCATAACACCCCCACAAAAACCCCAACCAAGCCAAGGGGGAAGGTAGTTTTGACTTTAAATATGCCCAAGAAGCTCATTGACATCAGTGCAGCTACAAAGAAAAAAGCTATTTTCAGAAAATACGCTTCTGATGTTAATAAAACTAGAAAGTAAATCCCCTATGCAATATGAGTAGTGGGTTGAGGAGGACTCTGGCTAACATGATTTCCAGGTGACTTATTGTGAATTCTGAAGTTAACCATATAACTAGCATCCACTGATGTCCTGTGCCCAGGTAAGTTATCAAGTATATTCTCTTAGCTGCTTTGTTGGCTAGAATACAGTGACTTATTTGTATATTTTTATGGCATGTGTTTTTCCTTTTTTTTTTATTTCATATTGGATCAGTTGGACATAAAAATCTTTGGTGTCTTTCATTGGAGGTTCTTTCATGCATGTTGCTTTCTGTAACTGCAGTAACACTGGGCAGTTCACCACAAAGATGACGCCAGATAGAAGGTACATACGACTGCACACTGAAATAATTAAATCCAGACTAAATATAAACCAGGATAATTCTCCAGAAAACACTATCTTCTGGTTTTACTTCCATTTGAAATAAGGAACAAAATGAATTAGTCATCTAGCACTCACTTCCTTCTAAGAACAAATTTCAGGGAGGGAGGTTGGGAGAAATTTCTACAAAATGCTTCAAAAAAAGAATACTCAAGCATTTTTATTCTAACCACACACAAAAAAATTATTTTTGGACAAAATCTGTATGATACACTATCTGATTGTGATTGAAAAATGCCACTTCTTGAAGATAAAAATTAAAACCAGAACACTTTCCGATGTGACTCAATACATTAATTTTTACATTGACCTATGCATTATGAGGCTTGCTCTCAATTGTAGTACAGGGAGCCGTCGAATAGCAAAAACAGTTTAGGAATTTTTCTGCAGTTTGGGAAAAGATGACCTGTGAGTATGTTTGATCACTCCCAAAACACAGAAAGCCCAGAAGACTATTGTTAGCATGTTCCTTAAAACAAATTTGTAACTTACAAATTGACCAATATCCAGAGTATTGAACCATGTTTTTTTTCCTTTTATAGTCAGCTAGGCCACACTTACCAGATGAATTCTGACATAAATTATGTATTATACAACCAGTTGATAGTATGTTTAGATATTATATATGTATTAAAAAACAGATCATGTAAGAGCCAGTTTTGCATTTAGACACTTATTATCACTTATTAATATAACTGTATCTTACTCATGTTTCTTCATTATAGTTTTGGACATGTTCTTTTAAATGGAATAAAAGTAAACAAAGATAAAATGGTATGAAAACCTAAACCGTTACACTTTAAGACAGATGAAAGAGCATGTGTGCCTTGTGCAATAATGGCTATTGTGGCAGGTGGTGTTCTGAGCAGGTGATGTTATCTCCACATGGATTGACTCCTGTCACATGCTAGAAATGTTGATGACAATGAAAAGAGATTAAGGTTTCAATATCCTAATCTTACCACTTTTAATCCATCAAAACCTTTGCCTTTTTTTTTTTAAAAAAAAAAAAAGGGGGTTTTGACACCACACAAAATATGTAATTGCTGCTAGAAAGCTTAAAAGCTGCTAGGAAAATAAAATTTCTTCTGTTGGTGAATTAGAAGGAAAGCATATTACAAAATATGGTTATACTAATAATAGAACATCCTTGCTATTCCTTCTTCCTACATTTTATTACACAGAGGTATTTAGCTAAGCTTTTTTTTAAGATGTATGTTGGTGCAATTGTTAATGGGTCTGTTTTTAAACTGTGGCAATACAGTAATTACCATTGTAGGTCTGTCTAACAAGACACTACTGAAAAACATGTGTCCAGCAAGGGTCAATACTTTTTGCCCTGGAATATGGAATACTAGAGGGTCTGTTCACAATAAATTACATTTGGCCTTTTTTTTTTTTTTTTTTTTATATAATCAGTTCATTTTAGGGTATGGCCAGTAAATATGCCTGAAACTTGCTATAATATTTCACTTTATTTTAATCTAGCTCATCTTCCTTTTTAATGCACATTTTGCAATTGAACTGACAAATGCTGAAACAATCATTATTAGTGAGGAAGAAGCCAGTGCATTTTAAAAATAGCAAAGAAAATGTCAGGTACTCTGTTATGTTTGGTTTGTTGCAGTAGCTGAATGGTTTTTACTGTGGGTTTTTTAAGTGCATTTTAAAAATTCTTTAAAAAAAAGAGGTGAGGAAGCAGGTTCCGTTCAGGAATGTTCTTATTCGTCTCTTAGTTGACTCTGGAGACCTTAACCAAACACATCAGTGATAATGAACCTTTATCTTTTCATGATAGCCTCTTTAGCTGTACCTATAAACTCTTGCAAGTATCTGGCTTTCTCTTAAATGTTTTTGGATTTGTATGCTTAAGTAGAACAGATCCTTGGGGAAAAACAAAAGTGAAATTAATAACTTAAACCTCTGCAAGCTACCTAGTGCACCGAGAATCATCATGTTCTGAGTAGATGAGCTATTTGAGAAGCCATCAGGATTCCAAGTGATTTTAAATGCTTCTTTCGTCAATCTGGCACGGATTTCCTTGTAAACTTAATTGAAATTGTTTAATTTGCCAGATGTTCCCCAAGATATCTTCATTCCATCTTCCTGAACATCTTCCTGCCTGTACCACTTAGCAAAACAGTTTTCAATCAGTTTCTCTGCCATGCTCATTTATTCGGGTAACAAACGTTAAAAATCTATGATTTGACTCTCTTATATTCTTAATAGTTTATTCCTAATGCATCCCTTTTCCCCGCACGCAGGAAACAGTTCACCTAGGCACAGATGCAAGTTCAGGAGGAGTGATTTCATTGTAAATCCTCCAACGGTCTATTTCTGTCTTTCTTCAAGGGTGCAGGATGACATAGTAAGGTCTGGTAAGATGATTACTTTAAGAGTCTTAGGCTGGTGAGATGCATGTCAGCTCTCCAGGGAAAATACTACTCCGTAAATTATTTTGCTGTGGCAGCGTTCCCATGACTCGGTGTTGGGGGAGCCATCACCGTTTTCGGCCTGCTTATGACTTTTAGGGATCTGTAGATTACTTCTGGATTATCTGAAAAAGTAACCTCCCTTTCAAAGCGTGTTATTTATGGTATCCGTACTCCTTCCTCACAGAGTGTGGTATATTAATCACAGTGAGCTAGACAGAAATTCTGGCACAGGCAGTTACAGTTTTCCTCAGGTCAAGGTTTGCTATCTACCTGGAGGTGTTCTGGTAGAAAAGGGAGTAAGTAGGCTCCAGCTCCCTGATGCACTTCTGGTGTGGAGCCGGACAGGCGAAGGCGCAGCTGCTGCCTCGGCGCCCTCCAGGCGCTCCCGGGCAAACGGTGCTGCTGCGCAGTCTGGGGGGACCAGCAGAATTTTAAATTCTGCAGTTATCTCCTCAATGACGGAGCAGAAGGCGCCTTCCTCCGGGTTTGCTCGTCTACGCGGTTTTCCCTAGCGCCCCCTCGGGCCGCGCTTTACGCCTGGTAAGACTCCGGGCCCACAACGGTCCGTCCGCTACCCGGCCTGTCCTGGCGGAACGCAGCCCCAGCACCCTGGGGCTCTAGGAGCCCATTTCTCTGCGAGCCCTAAACCCACCCTGAACGCCGCGAGGCTTTTTTATACCCTCCCGGGACACCCGCGCCCTCCCGGCCCGGCCCGGCCCGCTCCTCCC